GCAAAGTCGACAAATTAAACAAACTCATTCGTTTAATAGTTTTCAACCTGGCTAGACGACGGCAATGTTGTTTTCGTGCACGGAAAGTTCAAGGCATTATTCACCAAGTAAAACTGTGACAGTGACATTAAAGTATAAATGGATGTGTACTCTCTTCCAGCGCTCTCCGAGGTGGAGATAATGAGATGCTATATCACCATGATGGAGGGAGGGGAAATCTGATTAAGATGTGTTTGCATCCAACGTCTCAACTAACTGCGAAACTCATAAAACGCATTTGCTGTCTCCCCCATAACTAATGGCTGGTTTTCACGGCTTTGACAGCGAGCCGTGTGTGTTATTTTGTCCGGGTATTATAATAATAATGAGAGCAAATTAGAACAATCAATTTCCATGGGTGGTTCTTGATTGGGGATGATGGGCAATATGGCACCGGGTAATCCATCTTCCTGGCCCTGTCTCATTAATGGCTGCGTCGCCGCGACAACAGCCAATGGCAGTGCGGCGCTATGGAACACATGGGGGCACCATTCTGTGAGCCCATGTTCAATTAGCAGTGGCGGCGATAAACAGAGTGATGTATGCGGGCTCGCAGATGCGGCAGCTCCAGTTTAGAGCCTTTTAAAGCCCCTGTATGTATCCTCTGTGCCTCGACACACTCGCATGAGCTTGTGCGGTGCCCTCGTTGAATATGTGCTAAACAGCAGCCAGCCATCAGTAGCTCTTATAAAGAGAGAACTGATAAAAACAGCCTCTTGCATTACGGCAAGAGCAGGAGAATCCCATTTGCCACGCCATTTCACTGTGCTTTTTTTTTTTGTGAGTCTGAGAGCTTTTTATGTAAATGAGATGGCCACAAGAGGGCTTCAATGGTTTGACTAACAGGCCTGTACTAACAAGGGTGTTACTTTTTTGTAATAAAACAAAAAAACTAATGAATCTATAAACGGTTTCCAGCACTGAAAATGAGACTGAATTCTTAATTACAAAAAATAATGTACATTAATAACTGCTAAAATTATTTTTAAATTACATTTTAAAATAAGAAAATAGAAAACACGTATTATATATTGTAAGAATATTAACAGTTTTACTGTTTATTTTTTTGTGAAAACAATGGAAGCTTGGGTCCATTGAATGTGGACCCTTTTCACAAGACTGTTATGATGTGTTTAACGGTCATCATTATGTTAAATCCTTAAAAGTTTTTAATATTTAGATTTTTTTAATAAATATATAAACATTTATTTGTATTTGTTAATGTATTAAATCATTTTTGCTTTAAATTTCAAAAAAACGAAATACCGCTTGTGCGTGGTGTCTCTAATGGATCGTCTATGGGACAGGACAGTAAATTTGACATTATTCTCTCCTCTCATCAGTCTCACACTATTTTTTTTTTCTTTTTCTGAAAGTCTTGATTATACCATCGAGGTATTTTTCTTTTATTATTTCAGCAAATAGGATTGTAAAAAATTATTTGTTGTACTCTGCCATTCACTGCACTCTAAGTTTACCCAGCTATGATGCCTTCCGCTACTGAGAAAACCGGAAATTTGAAAAGGGTACATTTTTTTAAAAATGCAATTCTTCCTTTTTATTGCAACTAAAATCTGGCAGCTGACCCTCAGCACGATCTGGCCTTTTGTAATATGTTATGGTAATGCATGCACAAGCTGGGGAAATAATGAATTAGGCCCTCAAAATCCTGCAGTTGTTGCATAAAATTGCATTCATTCATTCATTTATTCATTTTCCTTCAGCTTAGTCCCTATTTTAGAGGTCACCACAGCAGAATAAACCGCCAACTATTCCATCATATGTTGAGCAGCAATGGCCTTCCAGCTGCAACCCAGTACTGGGACACACCCATACAAACTCACATACTACAGCCAATTTTGTTTTATTCAATTCACCTATAGCGCATGTCTTTGAACTGTGGGGGAAACTGGAACACCCAGAGGAAACCCACACGAACAAGGGGAGAAGATGCAAACTCCACACAGATATGCCAACTGGTCCAGCCGGGACTTGAACCAGCGACCTTTTTCTTGTGATGTGACAGTACTAACCACTGAGACACCGTGGCACCCCTGTATAAATTTTAAATGATAAAATACAAAAAAAGGTTTTCCATTTGTAGTGAATGCATTGTTCTATAAATGTCACCTGAATAAAAGATGAAATACAAATTTGTTACAGCTGAATGAAAAAAAAACTCTTTTTTCTTTTTTTTGTCAAGTTTACATGACAAGAGCCCACTGTCACTATTTTCCAGGTAAACCAATGTTAATCTAATAACTAAACTTGATTTTTATTCATTCATTATTTTTCTTTTCGTCTTAGTCCCTTTATTATTCTGGGGTCGCCACAGCGGAATAAACCGCCAACTTATCCAGCATATGTTTTACATAGCAGATGCTCTTCCAGCTGCAACCCATCTCTGGGAAACATCCATACACACTCATTCACTGTGAACAATTTAGCCTACCCAATTCACCTGTACCACGTCTTTGGACTGTGCGGGAAACCAGAGCACCCGGAGGAAACCCAACCGAACACAGGGAGAACATGCAAACTCCATACAGAAACGCCAACTGACCTAGCCGAGGCTCGAACCAGCGAGCTTCTTGCTGTGAAGCGACAGCACTACCTACTGCGCCAGCGCGTCGCCCTCTATTTTTATTTGTCAGACAATATTGGACGAAGATACTAATGAAGAAAACACAATATCACATTATGACTAGATCGCCTGTCGATCAAACTCTAAATGATCAAATGCTTCTATTTTGCATTCTGAAAGTCTGGATGATTAATTAAAATGAAAAGTGTACAGGGGAGAACATGCAAACTCCACACAGAAATGCAACTGATCCAGCCGGAACTTGAACCAGTGACCCTCTTGTTGTGAGGCAACAGTGCTAACCACTAAGCCACCGTACCACAAAATCAAAATCATTCCATCTAACTTATCAGTGAACTACCACTCTGCATTGTAAAAAGCAATTCGTAACCTTACTTTATAAAGTGAGTAAACCCCTTGCATTAAAGGTGCAGTAGGTGATTGTCTTCAGAAACATTTTTTGTTTTGCTGGTTGAAAGTCTCTTCACATTCCAACAGTGATGATTAAAGTAAATTATGTAAATATTTATATGTATTTTTATATTCTGGGTACGGCATAAGACTAAAAAGTGTTCATTCAATTAAATATTGTCATGTCGATAATTACCATAATTCTGATAGGTAGCCCAAACTGTCTGTCAGAAAATGTAGATTTGTATAACTGCCATTACTGTTCACACAGATCCGCCACTGGTGTGTGTGTTCATGTGCACACAAGACACAGTAGTAAAATCAAATGCTGAATCAAACCTTTTTAAGATCCTAAATCAATATTGGAGTTACTTTTGCACACTGGATAAAGGATGACACCATGGCTGAAGTATTTCTATTAGACTGGATATGTTATGTTTTAAAACTATTTTAGTCACTAGAAGCTGATGCAGATTGTGTTGTGTTATGAATAGGTTATATCAAAGACTACAGAATAAATGGGACTTTGGTTATATGCACAGAAGTGTTGTTCAGCCACTGAAATCTTCCGGCGAAAGATTGATGTGACTATTTTTAATTTCATAAGTGACCTTGTGCAGCATCGACAACGTAGATTTTTATTCATTTTAACAAAAAACACAAGTAAATATTCTAACTAGCCTGCTTTGCTGAGGTGAAGTCGCTTCTATATTCACATTGGTTAATTTTTAAACAATGACAACATGTGTTGCGGTCCCCATATTGTTTACCATGCGGCTCGGAATATTCGATCTGAAATAGCATGAAAGTATGGCTTAATAATAAGTGTAATTCCTGCACACCGCCAGCCAACCACTAAGCAGCATACAGTGGTCATACAGTAGTAAAGTTTAGGACAAAGCGTGTTAGAGAGTGTGTCCGACAACCCTTGCATGCAAGAAATAATGTACATTATGACAAGTTTTGTTCGCTAACTATAACTGAAAACGTGCTAGATATTAGACAATTTTTCACTGGAAATTCTAGTATTATAAAGTTTTCCAACTGGTGAATGACATAATCGAGTGGGTTGTCTACTGTCATCTTTAGGATGATCATTCGTGTTTCAGGAGGCATGGCTTTTGACGGCAGGGGAGGGACTGTGTTTCAAAAATATTGGCAGACCACCCACTGCAACAAGTTGATTCACGTAAAAAAGTCCGTAAACCACATAGTTTGTTTACTTAATAATTATAAGGCAATGAGTTTAGTCTCTTTTATTAAGTTAACCAATTGCTTCTAACAGTGTAGTAAATGCCACTCCATCTCAAAGCACATGCTTTCAGTTTAACAAGAACCAGCTTTACTGACAAAATGCCCATGAAAATCTTCTTTAAATGATCACCCAGAGCTAAATTTACATACTATACACTCAAAAGTCAGAACCACAAGAAATAAACTCCACAAATTCAATATAAACATTATTTTTAAGTTGCAAGTTTGTATTTTGCAATTCTAACTGTTTTTCTTATAATTACTAGAAAAGTCACAATACAGAAATATAAACTCACAATCAGATCTTCAAATATACAGAGCTCTAATACTCACTTCCTAATTAATAAATACAGCCGAGTAAATGTGTGATTTTTAACAGCCACCACTATAAAGAAAGACTCTAAGAGGCAGAGGACATCGCCATTGATCTGGAGAAATCTAACCTGCTGTCAGCTTGTGAGTAGCTGTCCCTGATTACATTCATCAGAGAATCAGCCATAGAGGGAAAGGATATTAGGTTTCAGGGGCAGCCATCAATCTAAGTCATTCTTAACCTGATCAAGTACACAACACTCTCCAACCCAACATTACATGAACACACCAACAGCAATCAACTAGACCGGCTCAATCTATACTCCAGGGTCACATGTGCTGGCATGAGGATTGAGGAGTGAAAGAGAAGGAATGATGAGCATGTGAAGAGCAAGTTTCTATAGATTTGCAGACGCCACCACCAGTGCCATAAAAAGCTGGGTTGAGTCAACATAGAAACAGCAAACAAAAAGGATGCCTCACTGTAAAAAAAATCTGTAAAATAACAGTTAAATGACTGTATATTTTAACAGATTTTTTCCGTATACACGTATTACGGGTGTTTTTCCGTTTATATACATTTTCGAATTGCATTGTGGGAAGGGGATCGCAGCTCAGACAGCGTTTGATGGACACCGGGACATATTTCTTCCTCTGTTTTTTCCCTGGTAAGTACGATTAATAAAACATATAACAATATTTTAGTTAAAAGACTGCTTTATTACCTTTTTATCGTTATTTAAAATGATTTTTGTCTTTTATGAAGCGCCCATGGAAAGTACAGCAGTGAATTACGTTTAATATTGTTAATAAGATCAGACTTTATTTCATTAAGATCAAACTGAGCTATGAGTGGTTAAATGTAATTTAAACAAGCATTTACCTAATGATTTTTTACCTTTTTATACGTTTTTCTCATCAGTAAATATGATATCTGTTCATTTACAGTTGTTTGTCCGTATTTTTCTAAACTGCCGTGCGCGGGAAGTGGCGTGACGTCCAATCACCCACTCACTCCCTCTGCACCTGACTGGATTAACGGTAAACGTCAGTTTGTCTGTAAGAGTGTAAAAGGTATGTTAATTATTTTATAGAAATATAAATGTTTTCTTTGTACAGTGCATTGAACAAGGGATAGCATTCAAAGTTTGTGTCACTGTGTAGTTTGGTTGATATACGTTACCTTTAATGAACACTAACGTTAACGTGTTTCAAACGCAACACCTGACCGTCTGTGTTTGTTTGCATATTAATGACTAATTTCATATTTTTACTGACGTTATCAAATGTTAGCTTTAGTTTGACCGACGTATTAAGGCTGTGTGACCGAGTTTCAGTGGAACAGCTTTGCTGGTTTTTAAGTAAGTTATAAGTTAGACTCGCGTGAATTGGAGGCATTTGTAACTCGGTATGAGGGGAAATACACACTCGTAAAGTTTTTATTAGTGGTGGGCCGTTATCAGCATTAACGTGCTGCGTTAACGCGAGACTTATCGCGCGGTAAAAAAAAAATATATCGCCGTTAATCTATTCTCAACGTTGGGTTGGGAGCTGGGTGACTTTCATACTTTGATATTTTAGCGCGGATGTATACCTGACCGGTGAGCCGTCTGACAAACAAGTGCCCTTATGAATCAAATCAGCAGGATGCCTGACTTTAACTGCAGTTCGGCAGTTTCACTTTAACTCATGAACATTTCATTCATCCCGCGTGACAAACTGGGGTAATAGACGCAAATAAGAAGCAAGAACTGGTGAGAGTGTTATGGAATTTAACAACGCTCGCCAAATGGAACGAAAAAAAAACTTCCGCATTTCGCGACGCGTGTTTGTGTGTACAGAGATAACAGAGTGATACAGTACGTGTGTGACATTTAAAAGTATTTATAGTGTTTACACTGTCATGCGTTTTCGGCCTCAAATACAACGTGTACCTTAAAGCACACAATTAAATGTTTGTTGTAGTCGAGTTGAACTGTCATTGATATTTATTTATTCACTTTTAAGAACCTCAAGGGCAGCTAATATGAAGATATAAAGATGAGTTGTTCTTCCACAGTCTTAAAATTCTTCAAACTAATTGTCAGTTCGATTCATTATAGCAAACAATACTTTCTTTACTATTAGGAGATCAGGAGTTTTATTTTAATGAAACCTTGATAATAGAGTGAACTACACATGGTGTTATCGCAAATGAAATCTTTTTATGTAGATTTTAAGTGAGTTTTATTTGCACAAATAAGGTTCACTGATATTTTGCTTTGTTGACTTTCAGGTTCTTTCATTTTGGTTATAAGTACATGTTACAGGTAAATTCTTAGATTCAATCCAAACTGAATTTGAATTAATACGGACAAATGAAATAAAATACACCTGGGATTTTAAATGTTTTCATTTTTTTATTATTCACAACGTTTGTGAAGTCTAAATGTAGACTGTCTCAAACTGAATAAGTGTTATTTTTGTTGTAGGTGTGTTGGTGTAAAAATTGATGCTGACTGGTTAGTACTGCATTTTTAACCATAACAATAATGATTTATATTTAGCATTGCATCTATTGTCATTTTACCAAGAATGTGTTTGCTCTTTCAGAACTCAGGCAGTTGTGCTGGACCCTCTGTACCTTATACAGGAGATGACAGTAAACTTTCAAGTTTAAGAGGTAAAATGTTCAGGGTTTTTCTGTTTGATTTTGAGTGTTTTGTAGATATAAGGTTCACTGATATATGATATAAGATTTGCTTTATGTTTATGTTGTCATTTTAGTTATAAGTACAAGGTACAGGTACATTTTCACAGCAATCTAAATTAAAATCTTAAATCTTACATTCAATCCAAACTGAATTTGAATTAATACGGACAAATGAAATAAAATACACCTGGGATTTTAAATGTTTTCATTTTTTTGTTATTTACAAAGTTTAAAGTTTAAAAGTAGACTACGTGCTGCATGTTTCAAACTGAATGAGTGTTATTTTTGTTGTAGGTGTGTTGGTGTAAAAAGTGATGCTGACTGGTTAGTACTGCATTTTTTAACCAAAAAAATAAACAATGATTTATATTTAGCATTGCATCTATTATAATTTTACCAAGAATGTGTTTGCTCTTTCAGAACTCAGGCAGTTGTGCTGGACCCTCTGTACCTTATACAGGAGATGACGGTAAACTTTGAAGTTTAAGAGGTAAAATGTTCAGCGTTTTTTCTGTTTGGTTTTAAGTGTTTTGTACATATAAGGTTCACTGATATTTTGCTTTGTTGATTTCCAGGTTCTGTAATTTTGGTTATAAGTACAAGGTACAGGTACATTTTCACAGCAATCTAAATAAAAATCTTAAATCTTACATTCAATCCAAACTGAATTTGAATTAATATGGACAAATGAAATAAAATACAGCTGGGGTTTTAAATGTTTTCATTTTTTTTTATTATCCACAAAGTTTGTAAAGTATAAAAGTAGACTATATGCTGCATGTTTCAAACTGAATGAGTGTTATTTTTGTTGTAGGTGTGTTGGTGTAAAAATTTATGCTGACTGGTCAGTACTGCATTTTTATAAATAATACAAAAAATTAAAATAAAAAATGATTTATATTTAGCATTGCATCTATTGTCATTTTACCAAGAATGTCTTTGCTCTTTCAGAACTCAGGCACTTGTGCTGGACCATCTGTACCTAATACAGGGGATGACAGTAAACTTCCAAGTTTAAGAGGTAAAATGGTCAGGGTTTTTGTTTGATATTGATGCTTTTATTTTTATTATTTGGCAAACCAATTACTTGTACCTATATTTTTACTAAGTGTTTACATGAACACATTTTGCTTCAGTAAGTTTTGAATTTTGTTAACATGTATTCAAACTAAAAAGAACTGGGTTGATGTGGGTGTTCTATCTGGGTTTTTTAACCTGCTACTGTAATCTGTTAAATGAACCAAGCAGTTATTTATTATTATTATTTATTTTTGCATCATTTGAAATGTTACAAGTTCTTTATTTTGGTAATGTCTGTTTAAAGTGATAAAGAAATAACTGGTCCACTGCTGAATCTCTTTTCTTTTTTCTCTTAGCCACCTGATGATGAGAGACACAATTTCAATGTGGGCATCTTGATGGTGAGCCAGGCCTTCATGCTGATTTTGTGACCGTTTAATCTATTTAGCGTCATTGTAATAACTTTATTTCAGGATGCAAAACTGGCTAAAAATCTACTTTAAATTTCAACATTAATTGTATGATAGTGTGGTTGATTTAACATTTTATTTAATGTTGGGTTCATTGTAAAAAAATAAGATTTAATTTTGGTTGAATAAATGCTGATTTTGGGACAGTTTTGTCTATTTATTATCATAGAATTACCATTATTTCAGGGTGGAAAACTGCCTAAAAATCAGTGGTGACTTTTTAACGTTGTTTCAATGATAGTTTGATTGATGTTTTAACATTTATTCAATGTTAATTTAACGTAGGTTTGCTCTCTGGGTAAGAACTAACTTAAAAAATGCGAAAAACTTATGTATGTGCCACTTGAATTTTGTATCACATGTTATTGGCATGTTATGGAATTTAACTATGGCAAATAAGTGAGAGGAGATGGAAAGCTATGATGTCTACACGTTTTCCTGAAACATTTTCAAGGTCAATTCTTTCTTGTATAAAGATAGTGGAAAAGAAAGAAATGTAAAACAAAATGGTTTATAATTTTTTTACATTTTTTTTCTTTCCTTTATTGTTTTTTTTTTGCCTTATTTTTGTTTTTGCACTATAATTATTTCTTGTAATATTTGATTAAGTAAATATATATTTTTTAATTTCTTTTAAATTATGTAGCAGACATGTATTTGAATAATTTTACATAATAATTATAATATTTATAATATTATTAATAATATTAATAATTTACCATATAGGTGTGCATATGTGTACCCATATATGTACATGTAATATAGGAAAACAGCCAATTTTATATTTGTCACATATTTCAAAAACCTAAATCAAAACCTATATTAAACCATATGTTTATATAGGTTCTTTCCATGTGGACGTGTACCAGACCCAACACACAACTCACTTTTCTTTTCTTTTTTTCAGAAGAAGAGTCCACAGTCACAATAACAAGATCATTGAGCTGTCCCCTAATTGTGGTGAGCTACATGTTTAGTCTCTTATGTGCTAAACATTATGTAGCCTAAGGAAGCAGCCCTGACTCTGGAGTTTATATGAAGGTCTGTTTTTACATTTTTAAGTTTATTTCATTTTTATAAGACAAGTAAGTTGATACATGTTTGTTGTATTTACAACAGGAGCATGCTGAGTAACTATCCAGAATGTAGGTCCATAGCAGAAAAAAGTGCACCAAGCAGAAACATACCATCTAAACTCCTTCGATTCCTGTCAGACCAGAAAGACTTTCAGAATCCTTGGAAGATTTAAAGGTAATTAAGCAAACCGGTAATACTTTATAATAACTAAACACTATTGATTAATTTATTAAGCATTAGCAAAAAGTTCTGTTAAGCTTTAACTCTACATTAACAGACCTTAGTATACAGTTTATAACTACAGCTGCAAATGCTGTAATCTTGACTTATAAGCACATCTATAATGTGCTTAATGATTTTGTTTTTATATTTTGTTAATGATTAATTTTTCATTACTAAATTTAGTATAGCATTATTTACAAACCAGTAATTTAAGAATAGTTGGTGTATTTTTTTTCTAATCATTCAGAATGTGTAAGTAAATGGTTAATAAACTATTTAAACTAACATTTATATATCTTATTATTCAGGCATATAGTAATAGTTGGGCAGCACAGTGGCTCAGTGGCTAGCACTGTTGCCTCACAGCAAGAAGACCTCCGGGTGCTCCGGTTTCCCCCACAGTCCAAAGACATAAGCTATAGGGAAATTGATTAACTTAATTGGCTGTTATGTATGAGTGTGTTTGTAAATGTGTGTATGGGTGTTTCCAAGGGCGTACTCATGCTATGCACAGTTGCCTTGAAACTGGAAGCGTGCTTGTCTCCCCCGACGACCCGCACTCACATTGCATTCGAGCCTGAGCATGCTTACATCATCAATAACGCACTGTTCAGTTTAACAAGTGCTCTCACTCAGCACAGTGGAGATTTCTTTATATTGTTATATCGTTTTAGTTGTTCAATATGCAGTGACACGCAGTCAAATATTTCACCGAACAGATCAGCCACTTTTGACGCTCATAAACAATCAAAGTCAACGTGCTGCAGGTACTAGGAGGTTTGCTAAAGGTGCAGCTGTTGTGCAGTGAGGGGTTTGTGTCTTTAATCTATGACAGTTTGCAAGGGACTTTGATTTGGATAAATTAACCACTATTACTGTTCAATGAACGCAAACCCCTTACTGCACCACAGCTGCGCCTTTAGCAAACCTCCTATTCCTGCAGCACAAGGAGTTTATGATTGTTTATTAACATCAAAAGTGGCTGATCTGTTCGGCGAAATTCTTGACAGCGTGTTACTGCATCCCAAACAACTAAAACAATATAACTAAAGAATTCTCCTCCGTGCTGAGAGCACTTCCTAAACTAAACAGCGCATCATCGATGATGTAAGAGTGCTCAGGCTCGAATGCAATGTGAGTGCGGGACGTCAGGGGAGACGGGAGGGAGGACAAGAGTGCTTCGGCCTGGTTCAAGGCAACTATACATAGTGTGAGCACACACTAAGCTGAAGGAAAATACATGAATGAATAGTAATTGTTATACTTGTATATAAAGTATAAAAAATAAGTATATAAAGTATATACAATACTTATTTTAATAAGTGCTTTTGTTAACTTCATCCAGTTTTGTAGCCTAAAGTGAGGATTGTTTATGCTTTGTAAATCGCCTTATAAATCACAATTAAAGATTCAGTTATATTCTAAAAATGAAATTCATTTTATTGTATTAAATGAAAAATAAATCTTATCTAAAATAAAATTACTGTACAGTTTAAACATAGCTAAATAACACTGAAATGTTGCATCGTAATATATCATTAAATTATTTTATTGTTGTTTTATCCAGTTTTATGTTATATTTTGGCACTCCTGCTATTCAGCAAGGTTTAACTGTCGTTTATAGGGATTTATAAATCATAAATAATCCTCACTTTAGATTAGGCCACAACTGGAAGAAATTTTGTAAATAATGCAATATTAAATATAATATTATATATATATATATATATATATATATATATATATATATATTTTTTTTTTTTTTATCTATAAATAGTAATGTAAAATCAATCATTTAAGTTTGATAACACAATTATTAAACTGTAGCTGTAGCAAATTTTGCAGCTGTATTTATAACCAACTGCTAACATCTATTAATGTAGAGTTAATGCTTAACAGATAATGAATTCACTATTTGCTAATGCTTCATAAATGAATCATAGCCCGTAGTTATTATAGTGTTACCAGCATAGTTTGTTTATATTACTGTTTCTCTCTTGCATTATTGTTCCGAATATTGTCAAAAGTACCTACACTTTATTTTGAAAAATCTTAAAGTGATTTCTCACCCAAAACTGAATAATTGATCATTCATAATTTACCTACTCTCTTGACATTTTAAACCTGTATGACTTTGTTTCCTCTGCAAAACACAAAATATCATATTTTAAAGAATGTTGCTCCTATTTCTCCTATTTTGTTCTGTTGAAGTATGTCAGTCAGACAGGCTTGAAATGACAAGAGTGAGACATGAAGATGATGATAAAACTTTCATTTGTGTAAACTATTGACATGCAAGGAATCACCCCAGTTGTAAGTGAAATGTCATTAGTAATGTTTTTGTTTTTTTTTTGTTTTTTTTACAGCCATTGAAGTATCAGTATTGGAGCGGAAGAAGACCCAGTTGTATCGTCTGTTTCCTGCCATCTTGCAGTTAACCTGGTTTCTTAATGTAAAGTACTTGTAATTTGCCCACTTGTCCTCAATTATCTTAAAGCTAACATTTAAAACTAATTTGCTTTGAGATTATTTGCCAAGACTTCTCACTGTGTGATTCACATATCAATATGTATTTATTGTGTGTATAACTTGCTATTTGGAATTCAAATGATTTGTATTCATTAAAGAATCTGTTTTAATTGCAAAGTTGTTTTTGTACTAATCATTGTAAGTTCACAGTTAACAAACTATTTACTGCTTCTTTACACATACAGTATGGAATACATGTTTTGTTTTACTATGGTAAACCATTAGTAGTGTATTTCCCATATGTATAGGTTTATCCTTACCAACTGCTATTTCTATGCTGCTTGAAGAGCATTAAATTAGTAAAATAATATTTTTTTTACAGTAGGTATCCCATTAAAACAAAGAATCTGTTCATTTTTTCACTGTATATATACTATTAAAAAACAAAAAAGTCCTCTTTTTACAGTAGGTATACAATTAAAACACAGAATCTGTCTGTTTTTTTACAGTAGGTATACTATTAAAACACAGAATCTGTCTGTTTTTTTACAGTAGGTATACTATTAAAACACAGAATCTGTCTGTTTTTTTACAGTAGGTATACTATTAAAACACAGAATCTGTCTGTTTTTTTACAGTAGGTATACTATTAAAACACAAAATCTGTCTGTTTTTTTACAGTAGGTATACTATTAAAACACAAAATAGTTCTGCTTTTTTACTGTTGGTATACCCTTAAAAACACAGAAAATAACCGTTTTTTTATATAGAAAAACCCTTAAATTACTATAAAATGGTTCGTTATTTTACAGTAGTTTAACCATCAAAAAACGGATATTTTTTAGTTTTTTTAATGTGGACACACTGTCAATTAACAGAAGTTTTCCGTTTTTAATTTACGGTAAAATATTTGTGTAATGAGCTGCCAGTACATTTTACCGTTTTTTTACGGAATTTTTTTTTAGAGTGCTGGTTATTATGTATGACTGCTTAAAATCTGATATTTATCAAATTACACTTATTGTTATTAGTCATTAATAATTCAATAAATACATTTTTTTCCATATTGTTGAACACATGCTTTAATTTAGAATATCTTCATATTTGGGTTGCCAGCAATGCACATGCCTTTTTAAACATCTACTGTCTGTCTGTGTGAAGTATTTTAAAAAATATGAATAAATGATTTGCACAAAGGATGAGGTTGTTAATATGAGTCTTATGACAGATCAGTCCAATCCCAGTCAGCCCTCAGGGAGACACTGACCAGTGAGGAAGATTTTCTGGAACCTTCCTGGAGTTTCATGCATCAAAACGTGTCATCATCATCACCACACTTCAATTAACAATGATCATATCAGCTCAGACTTGTGACTCCAACTGTATGTGTAGCATCAGAACATTCAGGATGTTTAAAATCAAAGCATACGGAACTATGTTAGAAAACAAATATAGTGGGTGTCAAATACAACCACTGGAAATTCAATGGACTATTTTAATTGACCATTACTGCTGTTATTAAATACTCCCTAAAAAATATAAAATTTTCCCTAAAAAAAAAGATGAAAATATATAACCAACTGATCAGAAACCAATAAATGATCAGAAAGCTATAAATGTATTTAAGGTGATTTTCATGTGTGCATCAAGTTCAATTCACAAAAAGATTTTGTATCCATAGAAAGCATATTAAATAAATACATAAATAAAGTATATACTTTAATGCTTTAAGTAAAGTGAAATAATGGGAGAAATGTAACATTCCTTTCAAACTGTAATTCAATGTAACTACATACTTATTCTGACCTATTTATTATATTACATATGTTTCCATATTACATTAGATTGTTGTTATATTATTATTTTTTTAAATAAAATCACTCCCTCTTATTTTATTATGTTTGTAATTATCATAATTAAATTGATCATAAAAAACCCTTACTGACAAATTGGCCAAACTTACTGGTTTGAAAAATAGTGACCAAGGGTAAAAAAATATGATAATTTATTAATATTTAGGCTCTGCAGCATTATGCTTTTTAATGTAATAAAATAATTATTGTTTAATTAAATATGGCCTTCGGGATTTTAACAGCGTTTCAACGCCTATTAATGCCATTTCACGTGTTGTCTTTTGCAAAAGAATTTATATATATATATATATATATATATTTATATATATATATATATATATATATATATATATATATATATATATATATATATATATATATATATATATATATATATATATATATTAAGCCAACTGGACTCTTTTTTTTTAATGTGCAGAAAAAATATATATTATCAAAAATGTATTGCTATGATGCCCCCTTTCTTCTTTGACACGTTATACATAACGTTAATGTATTTTATTTGAGACCAAAAATTGTTAAATATTAGGTCACAACTAAAATAATCTTCTACAAACATAATATGTATTAAATCTAATCTAAAGTTTAAAGCTAACAAGCTCCTCACTAAGTTAACGTACTGCAGTGATACTTATAGCAGGCTAACATTAACGTTACTCGTATGTATTAGTCACTTTACAGCACATCAAACCATTATGAAAACCGCCTTTTAGTACCCCATGCTGTCTTTCAGAATTACTCACTGTAGGATTCTCCGTGGTGCCTTCATTCTAGTGACCGTAGACTTTGTAAATTCACTTAACTAATTGATTTCAGCAGAAATCACGTTGCTGCCCGTCATGTGATTGTACAAGCTTGGTCTTGTTAAGGGGCGCGCGCCTCGGTCGGAAGTGCAAAGGGAAAGGCGCGCACACGCCTGGACTGACGATGAGAGGTCGCCTCGCTGTCAATCAAACGATGTACTGGCTGTCAACTCAGGATGACCAAGCCCACAAGTCCGCTGTGACCACACCCTCAAGTCCAAAATGAAGTCGATGGTGAAACCGGTAGCACTAACAGACGGCCAGTAGTAACTAACTAAACTTAATACTTTTTTTTGTCAGGAAGCCTTGTAACTTTTAAAGAACTTTAAAATGGCCGAAGAAGTGTTAATTATGAGTTCAGGCAAAATAACATCGGTGAGTAACTATTTTATCACTATTTAATAATCTCAATTTGTTATTTAAAGCAGATTTATTCGTTTGTTTTTGCTGTTTTATAATTCTCTTAAGCCATATATTATTGATTGCCATATTCTCGATTCTAACTCTTCCATTGCATTTACAAAATTTTAACAGGCTGTTAACGTTTTGGTGGAAGAAGGTTTTGTAACAATAGATTTCAAAATGTATTTTAAATCAGTAACATTTATTGTTTCATTTAAGTTTTTACTCTTATATGCTTTTCTTTTGTTTGTTATGCAGTGTTGGAAAAAGAAAAGGCATTAAGTTCTTGTCACAAGACATTTTTTCAGCATCTTCTCTCACGTGTGGGACTATACATAAGCAACTGTATCTGACCACTTAGTGGGACAAATTAGGTTTTCCACTCATGATCTGAAGTGTAACGACTACTGAAGTCACACCGTGAAGTTGGGAAATCTATTCTGTTCAGAATTTAACAATTGCCTCAAAATTTTAGGATCACTATAAAACAAAATGTTTATATTCAAAAAGTGAAATGTCTTTTAAAATATATATTCTGTGTATGCCACACACACATTAAACAGTAAACCAGTCTAATGGACATGGAAATGTAAACCTACAGTATATACCTATAAGAATGTCTGAAATTAGAATGTAATTCTATGACATCAGAGCTACATGTGCTCTAAGCCAAAACATTTAAATGGTTGGTTCAATAATTCTATCATCATTTACTCATGCTGATCTTCAGAACACACGTGAAAGTGGTTTTAGTGAAAGTTAAACGATTTTGATTTATATTTAGAATATACCCAGACTTTTTTACTCTTAAAATGTCTATAAAGAGTATAAATAATGTAGTTCAGTTGATTGGTATAATCTAATCTCATGAAGAGATTTAATTTGGTCTTTTATTCACATATTGAGTTTCATGGGTCAAGCAAGCATGATGCCACTTTCATGACCAAATTTGAATGCTGCAAACTCTATTTAGATTAAAATTTAAATGTGAATGAAATACCAAATAAAATCTGTTCATTATATATAGTAGCTGTATTTTTCTGGAAGACTTGGATTTAAATATTTTTTTCTTTTATGACCTCCTAATGAAGAATCAAAATTTTGGGGTAAACGCATATTTGGTGCAGGGACAGAAATCTGTTTATTTAAATGTTTCTTTGTGTTTTAAAATGAAAAAAAAAAACTTATAGGACTGAAAAAACTTAATGCTTTCAGAAAAAGGAAAATATGTTTACATTTACAATATCAACCTACAAAACAAAAAAGATCAGCTTTATATATTTATCATGTTTTGAAAAACAAAGCTCTTACACAAAGTATGAGTTCTTTTCAATCAGACATTTATCATATTGTTTTCTCATTTCTTTTTAATAGCATCTTACCTCATCTCTGCTGGCAGTGGCTTTCCTTACCTCGTTTGGTAGCTCAATGCTCTATGGATACAACTTAGCTGTGGTCAACTCTCCTGCTGGGGTAAGACCAACTCAGTAACTGACCCATTTATTCCATCAAAACAGCCAATACACTTCCATTCATAACGATCTTTCTTAAATATGGCTTCCAGTAGAGAGATGCACGTCAGAGACAGAATAAAAATAATGGCCTGAACAGAAGCTCTACTGACTCAAGATCTCAGGGAATGTTGCTTTAACATGATTCTGTGCATTCTATGCATTTTTGTATTTGAGTGTGAACTCAACAGGGATTTCTGGAGTACAAATGTTAAAATAAATGTATATTTTGAAATGCAATGTGAGAACATCTATACATAGTAATATTTTTTGGGAATGTTGCATAGCATAAGGACATGTAACAAAAATGAAAACTTATCCTTTGACTTTCTTCAGAAACTTGAAGGAACAAAGTGTATTATTTTCATTTTTTTTTTTGCAGATGACTCAGTTAGATGTTATTTGTTCATCTTGGCTTATCAGGCATTCTGTTCTGCAGTGGTTGCCTCTAGCAGCTCTTCATGTATATAAGTAGGGACCTATTTGCCCTGCCCCATTAGCCTGTTAATGACGAAAATATTTAAATTTTCCTGTCTGGTCTCCTGACTGGCTGTTATATACCCTACTTAAGTGGCTTTGTTTTCGTGCTGTTTTTTCTTGGAACATCACTACTAAAAAAGAGGATTCAAACATAGAAATCTCCCCCAAAAAAATACAATTAAAACAAAGATATGATTTTGAAGCAGAAGCCCCATTAATATTATCGCTAATTTCAAAAGTTTTACTTCAGTCACATCTGTTGTTGAGCAAATTAAAAAGACAATGTTTGGAGTTTTCCCAAGTCTATTAAATGATCCCGCAGCGTTCCAGCTTGAATTAATTTGGTATGGAACGGAAAAGGTACATAGACTGGAATTAAATTAGAACGTGACCTTAAAGTACAGGAAAAGAAGAGAGTGAGTGACATGGAAAGAGACGAAAGAAAGAAAAGCTTGTCACAAGACAACTAGATCCACTGAATATAACTTTGAAAATCTGAAGAAAAGGTAAGTTACTGACATTTGGAGTTACTATTCAATATGATGTTTCCTATTTAAGAAAAGACCAAAAAAATAAATTCACCCCCATTTATTTCCAAATCTTTATGACTAGTTCTTTGGCAGAGTACTCATAAGTAGTCATATGTAGAATTCATGACATTTATATAGTGTTTTTTTGTTATTGTTGTGAATATTTAGTAGTTTTACAGTCTCTGTCCATTTGCAATATATAGAAAATACTGAAATATCCCAATAGTATCTGGATGCAGCCTTTATGCATCTCTCAGAGGTGCAATGTCAGACACAATACACACAATAGAGCTAGTGACATCACTGTGACGGGTAGAGTTAGGGGTGGGGTTAGGTGAGCCCATTCTAAAAGCGTACTCACACTATGTACAGTTGCCTTTAACGAGGCAAAAGCATGCTTGTCCCCCCTCCCGTGTCCTCGATGGCCCGCACTAACATTACATTCGGGCCTGGGCACGCTTACGTCATCGATGATGCGCTGTTCAGTAAGCGCTTTCGCTCAGCACAGTGGAGATTTCTTCAGTTATTTTGTTTTAGTCTTTTGGGATGCAGTGACACACAGTCAAATATTTCGCCGAACAGATCCGCCACGTTTGACGCTCATAAACATTCATAAAGTCCTTGTGCTATAGGAATTAGGAGGTTTGCTGAAGGTGCAGCTGTCATGCAATGAGGAATTTTCGTCTATAATAAACTACGACAGTTTGTGTTTCAAGAGTTCACACTTAGCTGATGATTTACAAAAGCTTGTTTGGCATGCTGTCCCATGAGCGAGCCCCGAGCTCAAGGGCTCCTCGAGCCCGGGGCTTCCTCCCGTTGGCAGAGCAAGAGGGGAGCCTGAGCTCGGTGGATCTCAGAACTCCCCTGCTGCTGTAGCTAAGGGAACGCAAGGGATTAGACAAGCTTGATTGTTATGCATGTTGAATGTCTTTGGATGGTGGGAGGAAACCGGAGAACCCGGGGAAAACCCACACGGACACGGGGAGGACATACAAACTCCTCACAGAAACACCCACCGGTCCTGTGGAACCAGGGCCGGCAGTGTTTTTGCTGTGTGGCTCACAGTGCTAACCACTGGGCCGCCGTGCCGCCCAATCACAGGTAAAGGAGGAGAATAGGGGAGGAGGGGGGTTTCTTCCAAACGAAGATAAAGTGAACTGAAAACTGTGGCTATTTATAGTAGATTAGGGCTGAGTACGCATAGTGTGAGTACGCATAGTGTGAGTACGCCCTAAAGCATTACATGCAACTCAGATTGCATCTGCACCGAGTCTGCAGCCAGACCCCTCTCAAATATCCCTCAAAACTCCACTGAAGAAAGAAAATCCAGTATTTTTTTACCAGAATAATGAAGAGAAAATGTTAACAGTACCCAGAAAACGATTTTTGTTTTTAATAGACGTTTAATAGACATCTAAACGTAGACAGCATGGCTAAAACAAGGCTAAACTTGGGGTGTCAGTGAAAATCTAATAGACATCTAAGAATAACCCAAAACTAGACTAGTCACAAATAGACAGATTAGACAGACTTTATATGTGCAATCATTCATTTCTGTTTATTGGATGATGAGTCTAGTTTTGGCCTGTTAGATTTTCACTGACAGCCCAAATTCAGCCTTGTTTTAGCCAAGACGACTATGTTCAGACATCTTTTAGACATCTTTTAAAAACAAAAAATGCTTGCTGGGTATTTTTGGTTTAACTATCTAATATTTATCTATCCTTATATTTATATTTTTATCTTTTTCTGTCTCCTTGTCACACAACAGTACATTAAAGAGTTCTATAACCGTACAGTGGTAAGTCGGAATGGAACTGGACTGAACGAGGAGGCCCTGACGCTCATGTATTCCCTCACCGTTTCTGTGTTTGCGATTGGAGGCTTGATTGGCTCTTTAATGGTGGGCACACTGGTCACCAGATTTGGAAGGTAAGTCAGGAGGAGACCCGTAACATCTGGCATGGTGTGGTCATTCTGCCAGCAATTCCTCTGAGTGTCAAGGCCAGCGAGGTAGATTCTTTCTCATCTGTCACCTCACATGACCTCGCTGACCGCACTCAACGACTTTGCCTTTGCCTTGTAAATGGCCTTGTTTGCACTCTGGAAAAGAGCAGTTTAGTCCACTAGGTTCAAAACATCTTTGTTCCTTATTAGTTCCTTCAACCAAAAAAATAAAAAATTCTTACTAATACTTAAGATAAGTATGACTTAGTTTTCCTGAATGGAATACTACAGATATTTTAAATAACATAAGGGTCACTATTTTCATGCAAGGGGGAATAGTGATTTCGAGCTTTAAAGCTGAGATAAGTATCATGTGCTCTAAGCCAAAACATTTAAATGGTTGGTTCAAAATTCTATCATCATTTACTCATGCTGATCTTCAGAACACACGTGAAAGTAGTTTTAGTGAAAGTAAAACGATTTTGATTTATATTTAGAATATACCCAGACTATGGAATACTACAGATATTTTAAATAACATAAGGGTCACAATATTCACGCAAGGGGGAATAGTGATTTCGAGCTTTAAAGCTGAGATAAGTACCATAAAAAGTGCTTTGTTAGTGCTGTTGAATAAAATCATAGATATTTACATTAGATGTCGCTTACCATGTTGTTGTCTTTTGGAAGGAATGCGTCAATAGAGCCACTATTAGCGTTAGCGCTCCTTTGAAATGAATGAGTGACCAAGGTACAGTGGAGGACTGGACATCCAGAGCCAGAGATATATACACATATATACATCTATGATCGGGAGTTTTCCCAGTGGTCAGTACGCAAATATTTTTTTACATTCCGAAAACTATAACTTTACGTAACTTTTCTACATCGATGGATAAGTGATCGCATGGGCATTGCCGACAAAGAGCATGTGTTTGTGTGCATGGAAATGTATTATCCTCCTTCACCGTTAAATGTGATTTAATTCGTGTCCTGAAACACCCTCTCTCCTACTTTCACTTCTTATTCTAACGGAGAAGGTGATTCGTTTGTGAATGAATCCCCGTTATGAACGACTCATTCACTTACAAACTAGCATAAGTCTGATTTTTAGTGCGAGTTGGTGCTACTTTCCTTATGATCAGCGCACTAAGTGATTGTATTATTATCAATACTTGTTTAGCACAAAAGTTCGTAACATACAAAAATGTAAAAAATGAAATCTTTCCTATGAAATGTTCTGCCTTTGTGCTTTGTTTTCTTCGTTTGCTCGTTACTACACCCATACACAGCACTAAAGTCCAGCATCTTCACATTGGCATTGCGGTTGACTGGTGCATTTGAAAGACATTTGTACTGGGAGCACTTTACAAATGTGGCGGCGCTATTGTCGCAAGCTCAGGGCCCGTATGCAGTATTTAGTGTATATATCTATGGATTAAAACAAGTGTGAATACTGTCATATTACCCATGGCCCACTTCCAAATGTACTGAAATATGAAGCATGGGCCAGATACATCTATACAATCCAAAAACAGGGTATGGTGTTATAAGATGCACAAACATACTTTTGTTTTGTCATGATAGTCAGGATTTTGCCCTTTTAATTCAGGTGTTTCCTTGCAGCATGTTTTTGTTTGTGCACATTGAAGGAATTCCTGGTGCTGTAATGACATTATAATGATATTCATGAATTCTCAGCTGATTTAACTGTATTGGTATCAATTACAGAAAGCACATTTTGCACAGTGGATCTTTAATAATTTCCAAAATCGAAATTAATCGAAATCTTTTTTTTATCTTTTGATTTGGCCCATCTGAACTAAATTACAAAGTAGGGCTGCACAACATATCGAAACCGCATCAATATCGCAATGTGTTCATTCGCAATAGTCACATTGCAGGATTTGCAATGTTAAGTTTGTATTATAATTTATTATTTGCATGTTTAGCATCATTTAGCCATTAAAAGCTTTAATAATGACATGTTTTATTAAATTTTTTTTATTTTTATTCTTCAATTACTGTACATGAATATTGTTAGACTCTGAAAGACAATACAACACTGTTTATTTTAAGTGTATCTTTTTCTTTATTGTAATTATTTATGCTTGTAGATTACATACAACATAATCCTGATCAATCTAACATTATCAATTCTGTCCAAATAGAAATATTGTCATCTGGTGAAATTATACTTAATAGTGCACTAAAGTATATGTTTTGCAGAATAACAAAACATCATAATGTTCGATTTTTCCAATATTGTGCAGCCCTAATACAAGGGTATACCAAGTCTTCTGATGCTTTGTCACATGGACCACTTTTTTATGGGACTATTAGATGCCATGTGTCTTCTTTGAAGCCTCAAAGTTTCTATGTGTATTAATTGTAACATATATAGACTCTAGTCCATTATTCAGATTTCCTGCTTCAAGGTTTGCAACTAAATAAGCATAAATATAATAGCCATGAATAATGACAGAAATTAAATTTGTAGAAAAAACATCCCTTCATATGACCTCAGCCAAATTTCGATTTTTTTTTTTTTTATTGTGGAAGCATGTTGTATTATTATATAAAGACAAAGCTGTTCAATTACCACTTTGTAATTATGTTCATTCACTATGTTAGCCATAGCTTACGCTTCTTTTTTGTGCTCTCCAAGGACTTCTGCCTCGTCTGTTCTGAGTGTCTATGAGTGGCGCCACTAGATTTGACTGCAGACATTTAAATGCAAATGAAAGACGATGATTCATGACCCTATTTATTGTTCTAATCAATTTCAGTCCAGCAAAATGTTTTATAGCGGTAAGGTGATCATAACGCAGAACACGGTGCAGCCGTCTGTAAATCAGGAGGAAAGTTTACAACTTGATAGAACTAATCAAGGAATGCAGCTATTTCACCCAGCGGCACTGTCATGGAACATCACTTATCTGGTTTTGATAGTTAAACTCCCAGGTGGCCGGCTATTGAGCATGACTGTCCTGGCTTAATGAGCAGTGCCAGTGCAGGACTTCACAGTGTTTGCTTTTGCAGGAAAGGAACAGTGGTCAACTCCACTGCACTGGTGTTTTTGGCGGCGACACTCATGGGGTTCAGCAGAATCTGTAGCTCACCTGAAATGGTCATCTTTGGCCGTTTTGTGACAGGAATACATTCAGGTATAAAACAGAAGCAGGCATGAGAAAGTATGACTTGACGTGAATGGGCTTTGATATGCTTTTCTGGTCTTCACCTTCCAGGTATCTCTCTCAGTGTGGTGCCCATGTACCTGGGAGAGATCGCTCCTAAAAACCTGAGAGGCTTCTTGGGGCTCATGCCCAGCATTTTCATTTGCGCTGGGGTTTTCTTAGCTCAAGTTCTGGGCCTGCATGAACTTTTGGGAAAGGTAAAACACTGAATTACTGTTAATAATTATTAATTAATGAATATTATTAAATATATATATTTTCTGTTTTGATTGACAGGAGGAGCACTGGCCTTTGTTTCTTTCTCTTGTGGTTGTCCCCACCTTTATCCAGCTGATGCTCTTACCGTGGTTTCCAGAAAGTCCTCGCTACCTGTTGATTGAGAAGCATAATGTTCACGCTACTATCACTGGTGAGAGAAATGCTTTTGATTAAGAATTTGAAACACTTTACATACTGTACATTTCTAAATGCAAAACTTTCTGTTGATCAAATTTGCCCTGTTTTTTTACTTTACAGTTTATATTTTATGAATACAATTATTTGTTTAATAAATACAGCATGGTGGCTTAGTGGTTAGCACTGTTGCCTCACAGCAAAACTGTTACTGATTTGAGTCCTGGCTGGGCCAGTTGGCATTTCTGTGGGAAGTTTGCATGTTCTTTCCTCCTGGTGCATCAGTTTCCCCGTCCACATAGGTGAATTGAATGAACTAAATTGGCCATAGTGTAGGAGAGTGTGTGTGAATGTGAGAGTGTATGAGTGTTTCTCAATACTGGGTTATGGCTGGAAAAAAGGGCAACCGCTGTGTAAAACATATGCTATGGTGACCCCTGATAAATAAGGCATTAAGCCTAAATAAGGTGTTAAGCTTTAATCATAAAACACAAAATAAATTAATAATATATTAATAAAATTAATTCTGGGGGTTTAAAATAACAAAAAATGGGATGAACCTAAATACTGTATGCAAATTTTCTCATAGTCTAATATCTTGTACAATTGTGCTTTTTGAGTACATTTATTATCAATCATACCACACAATCAGATACCAATCGATGCAAACATTTATAAGATTATAGCATCTTTTCATGTATTCCATGACAGTGACTGAAAATATTCAATTGGTCAAAATGCCAGTGGGGTAACAAACTTGATGAGATAAAGTGTCTTTTGCCACTGGCCAACATAGGTCAGTGCCCATATAGAAATCTGATACAAGTAAATATATGCAAATTGCATTTATGGCCCACACGTCCATATTTGGATTTCACATATATTAACAAAATATTGCAAAAAAAAAAGGTTGTCAGTGTTTTTTCAACCATATACAGTTGAAGTCAGAATTATTAGCCCCCCTGTTTATTTTTTCCTCAATTTCTGTTTAACAGAGAGGATTTTTTCATCACATTTCTAAACATAATAGTTTTAATAACTAATTTCTAATAACTGATTTATTTTATCTTTGCCATGATGACAGTACATAATATTTGACTAGATATTTTTTAAGACACTTCCATACAGCTTAAAGTGTCATTTAAAGGCTTAACTAGGTTAATTAGGTTAACTAGGCAGGTAAGAATAAACAGGCAAGTCATTGTATAATGATGGTTTGTTCTGTAGACTGTCAAAAAATAAATAGCTTAAAGGGGCTAATAATTTTGACCTTAAAATGGTGTTTAAAATTTTTTTAACTGCTTTTATTGTATCCGAAATCAAAAAAATAAGACTTTTTCCAGAAGAAAAAATATTATCAGACATACTGTGAAATATTCCTTGCTCGGTTAAGCATCATTTGGGAAATATTTAGAAAAGAAAAAAAAATTCAAAAGGGGGTTTAATAATTCTGACTTCAACTGTATACGTATGCCAATAGGTGAACACAAATAAATTTGAGCTAATGTGTTTGTACAAATATGTACATATTTGTTATTCCAATTGTTGAAAATATGTAAATGCCTATTTTTGTGATATTTAGAAATATATGTTGCATATTTGACATGTGAAATCCAAATATAAAACTTGTATGTCATATATGTAATTTGCATATATTGTCACATATCAGATTTCTTTATGGGCCTTCATATATTGCTTTATTTAGTTCATTAATTGGTTATGTGTGTTATATGCCACAATAATAAAAAATCACCTCATGTTAAAAACTTTGCAGACTTTGATAGAGATGAACATTAAACCATTACCTTGTGTCCTCTTTGTTGAGCAGCATTGAAATGGTACAGAGCCAAATGCAACATCCAGGCAGAGATAGAGGAGATGCAGGAGGAGCAGCGCTCTCTGTCCTCAGTAGACACCATATCTGTTTGGCAGCTGATATTGGACCACACTGTTCGCTGGCAGGTCCTGTCTGTGGTGGTCATCAACATTGGCATGCAGCTGTCTGGAATTGATGCGGTAAGGTTAACGTCCTGGTTAAAATATTGACTTGACTGTATGTGGTTGTTATTTAAAGCCTCACAAGATCATCCAACATCAAATAAACAGCAGGAAACCAAACTGAGTTCAATCTGTGCAGCAAAGCTTTAGCTATAAGCCTGAATTTGAAGTGGCTAAAGAGCTCTCGTTTCTTTATTCTTCAGGAAGGCGAATTACCTTCTTTAGATGGTTTGCTGAGCTGCAGATTAATTATTCAAATGATTAAGAGAACCAAGCTGACAGAAACCTCACTCTTTATCCATCAGAGCTTAACAAATAGTTTTTTTCCAAGTGTTTATGCAATCTAATTTGCAAAGCCCTGCTACACTGATAAATATAGGCTATTATTCAAGCAAATTAGATGTATTTTTTAATTGTTACATCGTTAAGATGGTGATTATGGTGATTTGGCAGATGTAATTTTTATCTTTTTGATATATAACCATTTCCCTTTAAATCAGAGCTAACAACTGAGCTAACAGATTGTGAATACACAAAAGATTGGGGGTAGTGGTAGACCTGTTAACTGGCACCATTTCCTTAACATTGCAAATGCAGTGCCCTTTTATAGCATATATGTTATGATCAGAATCAAATTTATGAATTGAAATTCTCATGCATCTCAACATAAATTGTGCTGTTAAGGATATAAAGGAACTAGAAAAAGCACTCTAGCATTAGATTTAGAGGGTTTACAGTACAAAATTGATATGCTGTAGAATGTTTTTTCCCCTGAGATCAAGGATTATGAGACCCACAAAGAATTTATTTGCAAAGATATACATAGTCCCCACTCATTTAATCATTTATTCAATTTTGGCTAATTTGACAGTGTTTTCAGTGTTGTTCACAATCAAGGTGCGAATTACAGGGGGATTTGGGGTGATTGACCCCCCCAGTTAAGGCTTGATTCCCCCCTGAAGGACGTCAAAACAACATGTATGGGGGGGGTCAACCCTCTAAATAGTGAGAAATAGTTTGCTCTGATCTGTATCTTGAAAATGAATATTACTAATTAAAATTATAGATAATATAAATGTACATTTGACCACTAATGGATTTTAAAACTGTGAATTCATAATTTCATCAATTACTCTACACTGATAGACATGGTTAGCATTTACAAGACACTTTTATCTTATATATATATATATATATATATATATATATATATATATATATATATATATATATATATATATATATATATATATATATATATATATATATATATATATAAAATAAGTGTTTGTTTCTACATATAGCCTAAAAGTGAAGTAAAATTAGATGCATAGTTTGTATAGTTTGACCTACAGTAATAGCTAATTAGATAATATTGTAGGTCGAAATGCATAAATATCCCACAAAACACTGACATATTAAATATGTTTTATTAATTAAACAGATGTCATTTAAATAAATACATACATTTGATTCACTGAAGGATGTATTAGACAAAATAACATTACCGAAAAAGTTGACCCCCTGATCATCAATGTATAATTTGCACCCTGCTCACAATGACAGTCTACAGAATTCCACAAGCTATGTTTCATTAAAAAAAAAATATTTTGTAGACTTTCTGTCATGTGTTGATCATGTCTAATTTTCAAAACTTACAAAATAAATTAATAAAAATTCATTATTCTGGCAAGACGTTATGTAGTCGTGACTTATTAGTTCAGTTTACAAACAGTTTAATCAGTTTAAGTTACAAACAAAGGTTTCAAAACTCAAGGAGTGTCCGAACATGAGTGACCTGCATTATTTAATTAGCCTGCATTCAAAGATGTTTATATAGAACCACACTAAAAAAATCTATACTTGCTGGACAGCAGAATAAATCAGAAAGAAAATTAATATTTAAAACATTTCAATTACTTTAAATATGTTAAATAAATTTCTTATTCATTGATTCAAAGTCAAAAACACTCCCTTTTCTCATAATACACACAACATCATCACCTTTGTTTCTTTCTTTAAAGAGATGGCTCTCCCAAAAATGAAAATTGACTCACTTTTTACTCTCCCTCAAGTGGTTCCAAACCTTTAGGAGTTTATTTATTCTGTTGAACTCAAAAGAAGATATTTTAAAGAAAGCTGAATACCTGTCACTATTGTGACAGGTATTCACATATAGATATGTTTATGAGTATATAGATATGTTTATCTATCCCTGTACATATATTCATATATTGTAAGATATACACTTGTAATCATGTTTATCTATCCCTGCACATATATTCATATATTGTAACATATACACTTGTAATCATGTTTATCTATCTGCACACTACTGATTATTAATAGCAACCTGCACATATATTCATATATTGTAAATCTGCTCATAGCTTATCCACCTGTATATAATTTTGATAGTACATCCATCTGTAAATATCACCATAGTTTTTCTATAACTGCACTTTATAACTTATTCCTGTATCCTGCACTTGCTGCTATTGCACTGCTGGTTAGACCTAAACTGCATTTCGTTGCATTGTACTTCTACATGTGTAATGACAATAAAGTTGAATCTAATCTAATCTAATCTAATCTAATCTATTGACTTTCAAGGTATGAAAAAATAAATACTATGGAAAGCATTGGTTAAAGCTTTCAAACATTTTTCAAATTATCTTATTTTGTGCTTATCTGAATAATGAAACTCATAAAAAATTAAAAAACAAATAAAGGATGAGTAAATGACAGAGTTTACATTTTTTGGTGAACTATGCCTTTAAGTGTATGAAATGATTAATTCAAGGATCTAAACCTGGGGTGCCTAAATTCGGTCCTGGTGGGCTGGTGTTCTGCAAAGTTTAGTTCCAACCCCAATCAAACACACCTTGGCTAGCTAATTAAGCTTTTATTAGGCTTTTAGAAACATCATAGAGGTATGTTTAGGCAAGCAAAAGCTAAATTCTACAGGACACCCGCCCTCCAGGACAGGATTTTGGGCACCCCTGATCTAAACAACTGAGGCCAAACAACAACCACATAGAAATATCCCATTGCCGCATTATATAGTCAATGGTGTTCTCCACTGCACTTGTGCTTTTGTCAGCACAGCAAAAAACTGCCTTCACGAAGTGAAAGCCATTAAAATGAATGGGTTTCATAGTGCAGTGCTTCCCGCAATCGGTGTGAAAGCCACTTTCACAAGTGAAACCAGTGATGACAAATGAAACCAATGCATAGCCTTTTTTGGCTCATATTTTTCTTGATTCCAATTTTTTGGACGAGAACCGAAAACTTGCATGCTGAAAATGTAACCAGCCAAAGTCTACATCCTTTAGCATTGCATGCAAAGTAAATTTGTTTTCGCCATGAAGAATCAATGCATCTTTTCAACATGTAAACAAAACTCTTCCAGGCCTCAACTACAACTACAGCATTTGTGCCTAGTAGCGGTTATAAAACTGGCATAAAAAACCATAGGCTGGCATTATGCAAATATGTTACAATCTAGGGTTGCACAATATTGAAAAAATTTAATATTGCGATTTTTTTTTTTACATTTGCGATATATATTGCTATGGGAATGCAATATGTTTCCGTATAGGAGTGCATCTGAATAAAATATAAGAAACAATCTACAAGCATGGATTAATTCAATAATGAAAAGATACATATTAAATAAACAGCATTTTAATGTTTTCCGAGGAGTTGAACTGTATTCAGGTATACAGTAGTTGAATAATCAAATGTAAAATAATACTTCATAGTCTTTGTTTTATTAGCAATTTAATAAAATGTATTGTTATCAATTTGTCAAATTTATAGTTGGTACAATTTCTTAGACCTGAATGCTTTTAAAACCTTCACAAAGTCACAGGCCTCAAAAAACACTTGCGATATGATAGATTTTAATCCAGACTCAACATTGCATATAGTCACAATGTGTCTATTGCGAATAATCACATTGCGATATCGATGCTGAAATGATATAGTGTGTAGCCCTATTACAAACCTACATAGGTTTGTACAGGAAGTAATACTGACAACTCCTTTCAGGTACTTCAGAATTGCTTCCTCATTGGTAGGACAATCATTCTATTTTGTCATGTTCTACATATTTAAACTTTGCAGATGTTTTGCGCTTGCATACAGCTATATCACATGTACTATCAAGGACACTTTAAAAAACCTTACCCTCGATTCCTCAAACCATATACATCTTGTCAGAGTCTGTGAGCTGCTGTTATCAAACCTAAGTAGGACTATCCATGCAAGTTTGTCCTGTGGGGTTCTGATATTACAATTTGAATATTAAATGACATTGACTGTAGGGCCCTTAGGTGGCAGGTGACCCTGCGAGCGTCTGTGTGTGTGTTCAATGTAAATGGGGCTGACAGGTGGTGAGTCTTGGCTGACTTCAGCATGAGCAGCAGGAGAGAGGCAGGCCGTGTGTGTCCTCTACAGTCCCAGCAGCTCTCAAACCGTCTGTGTTCTCTCTGATTACCCCCCTGCCTAACCTCGCACACAGCCCTCCAGCTCTCAAATTGAATCTGAAGTGTTGTACGCCGTAACTGTTTGCAGTCTTGATATGCCACCTGTACAAGCCAAAATCACTATCCTTCCATTCAGCATCTCGTTTTTCTCTCCAGATTTGGTTTTACACCAACGACATCTTTCAGAATGCTGGAATCCCGGCCCCTGAGATCCAGTACACCACTGTTGGAACTGGAGCTATAGAGATTGTTGCAGGCCTCATAGGGGTGAGTTTTTATAGTCTACAGACGCCTTCACAGACTTGAATGTAGAAATTGCTTCATTTATTGATAGTGGTCTGATAGGGTAATGTAGTGGTGCAAAGTATTAGACATCAAATGGTTTGTTGCTTCACAGTAAACATCCTTAAAGTGAATTAAGTTTAGTTCATTGCACTGGGCAGAATTTTAAAAAACAAATTAAATTTAGTAATGTTTAACTTAATTTGTTTGTTTAAATTCAGCCCAAATAAATTGTTTACAACCACTTACCTTTAAAATTTTTTGTAAATCCAATGAATCATCTTTGAGTCTTTTTTTCAGTGTGGCAATGCTTTTTTGTCTGAAGCATACGAATAACAAAACAAATATAGATAATTATTACTGTACTTTCTGGTTAATCTATGTGAAGCTGCTTTGATACAGTCTACATTGTAAAAGCGCTTTACAAATAAAGATGAATTGAAATAAATTGAATAATATTAACCCTTTTTTTCAACCTATCCAGCATATGTTTTACGCAGCGGATGCCCTTCCCCATCTCTGAGAAAATTAACCTTTTTTAACATCTGAAATATGCTGACTTTTACTATAAAGAGACTTATATAACAGTTAACGTTGCGCAAGCAAACCATACACAAAGTGTGCACATACAGGATGTAGGATATTACACAATATTTCTCACAATCATAAAAATTTACATAAATAAACGATGAACAATACATTTATTGCAGTAGTTTTTCATCTTTGTAAACATTAGTTTATGAAAATGAAGCTGTTCATTGTTAGTGCTCGTTAACTCAAAGTTCATTAACTAATGTTACCAAGCACAACTATAATTTTAATACATTAATAATGCATTATTGTTAAATATCATTAATAAATGTTGTAACTAATTTTCATTAAAGGTTTTACTAACTAATGGAACCTTACTGCAAAGTGTAACTTTTTCCCATCAACAACTGTTGTTTGCAAAACAGGGCTCATTACCAGCCTCATAGGGTGAGTTTCTATATTGTATGTATACTGAGTTCAGCATAAAAATTGTTTCAATTATTGATAAAAGTATACTATATGTATTGTATAGTAATTCAATAATAGTGTAATAGTTTATTAGACAGCACTTGATGTATTACTTAATTAGTTTTTTTAAAAAAGTAGTAAACATCTTCAATTTTTAAGCATAAACCTAGCGAAATAAATTACTAATGTACTAATACATTATGATAAAATAAACCTAAATTATAATTTTCTTAAATATATCATAAATATATATATATATATATTGTGTGTGTGTGTGTGTGTGTGTGTGTGTGTGTGTGTGTGTGTGTGTGTGTGTGTGTGTGTGTGTGTGTGTGTGTGTGTGTGTGTGTGTGTATTTTGCTGTACAAGCAAATTTAAGGCTTATTACGTACACTCACTGGCCACTTTATTAGGTACACCTGTCTAACTGCTCGTTAACGCAAATTTCTAATGGGCCAATCACATGGCAGCAACTCAATGCATTTAGGCTTGTAGACATGGTCAAGACGATCTGCTGGAGTTCAAACCGAGCATCATAATGAGGAAGAAAGGTGATTTAAGTGACTGCACGTGGCATGGTTGTTGGTGCTAGACCGCCTGGTCTGAGTATTTAAGAAACGGCTAAACTAGTGGTATTTTCTCACACAACCACCTCTAGGGTTTACAGAGAATGGTGCAAAAAATAGAACATATCAAGTGAGCGGCAGTTGATGGGCGCAAATGCTTTGTTGATGCCAGAAGTGAGAGGAAAATGGCCAGACTGGTTCAAGCTGACAGAAAGGCAACAGTAACTCAAATAACCATTTGTTACAACAGAGGTATGCAAAAGAGCATCTCTGAACGCACAACATGTCCAACCTTGAGGCAGATGGGCTACAGCAGGAGAAGACCACACTGGATGCCACTCCTGTTTGCTACAATTCACACCAGGCTCACCAAAATTGGACAATAGAAGATTGGAAAACATTGCCTGGTCTGATGAGTCTTGATTTCTGCTGCGACATTCGGATGGTAGGGTCAGAATTTGGCGTCAACAACATGAAAGCATGGATCCATCCTGCCTTGTATCAATGGTTCAGGCTGGTGGTGGTAGTGTAATGGTGTGGGCAGATTTTCTTGGCACACTTTTTTGCCCATTACAATTGAGCATCGCGTCAATTACACAGCCTACCTTAGTGTTGTTGCTGACCATGTCCATCCCTTTATGACCACAGTGTTGCAATCTTTTAATGGCTATTTCCACCAGAAAAACGCTCCATGTCATAAATATTTCCAGTAGCTTGTTGAATTCATGCCACAAAGGAGTAAGGCAGTTCTGAAAGCAAAAGGCGGTCCAATCTGGGACTAGTGAAGTATACCTAATAAAGTGGCCGATGTGTGTATTCACTATAAGAAGGATCATTACAGGCCATAAAGGGGTTAATTTTCATATAATATCAACATTTTCACAGCGTCAATTATTGATAGAGCTAAAAGACTATCTGACAGGGTTATAAAGTGGCACAAAATAGTTTATTAGGTATCACTTGCTCTATTACTTTGCTAGAGCTGCTACATTTGAGGAAGAACATCTCTTCATATCTCAATCATTTTCATTTAGCTTTACCCTCAATCTTCTCCAGCTTGCGTTGTGTGTATTTTTCTGCAGTGACACTCATAAAAAAGACACACACACACATACACACTGTATAAGATGAGCGCTAGAGAGACGGATGTGTCTTGTTTTTGCCGCCTCCTTCATTGGGTCACATCTCGGAGCTGTAATGAAGGCCAGATACAGTCTCTCTCTCTCCCAGTTGCGTCGCTTAGCCGGGATTTAGTGATGCACCAGCAGCAACCGGAGAGAAAGAGGCGCTGTTAGTCAGAAGAACTCATTGCTGTCAGTGTCAATTGGCCCTCACTCGGGAGGCGAATGGCACACGAGAGGAAGGCTAGAGATTGGTTATAAAATTACAGCTATTCATTCTTATGTCAGCTTCGCCTGCCTTTAAGTCAACAGCGCACAGCTTTAGCGCTCAATTTTAGGAGCACTTAATGAAAAAACAAGGTTACACTTTATGCTTGCATGACATTCGCTTTCAAAAAAAAAGCAGATAAAGCCATTCTTTCAAGATAGTGGTTACTAATTAATGTGTACAAGATTTTTTTAAAAGGAGTCTATTGTGAGCATTCATATTGAACGGCTTGTTTTGTCTTTCAGTGTTTCACTATTGAGCGTCTTGGACGAAGACCTTTGATAATTGGAGGTTTTGGTGTCATGGGAATGTGTTGTGCTGGGATAACGTTATCTCTTATTCTTCAAGTAAGTGAAATAAAGTGAAAAATGCTTAATCAAACTGTGCCTTTAAATAATTATTTATTTTTTGCATATAATTAAGAATTCACACTTAAACATTACCTCACAATTTAGTCTTCATAACGTGGTTTTAAACTTTTGTTAGTTTCTTTGTTTTGTTGAACACATAGGAAGATATTTTGAAGAATGCTGCCTGCTGGGACCCATTAACTTCCATAGTAGGAAAAAATATTATGGAAGTCAACACTTTAGAAAAATAATGGTCCGTTAGTTCATGTATTTACTAACATTAACTAAGTATGAAAACTCACGTAAAAGATTTATTAATTATAGTTCAATAATGCAGTACTAAAATCAGAAGTTGTGCTTTTAACATTACAGGGTATCTGCTGGGTCTTAAAATGTCTTAAATTTCAAAATCTAAATTTTAGGCCTTAAAGTATTAAATTGACTGAAATATTGCATTGTAGGTCTTAAATCATTGTAAAATCATCATAAACATTTTGTATGTCCATGTAAAACTACTCAATCGGGCCAACACCTATCCAATCACTATCATTTCATCTAGTAAAAGTTTTAATTAAAAAAAGTTGTAAACGTCCTTAAAATGTACTTTATTTTCATGCCTCACTGACATTTTTTGGATTTAGGCATAAAGCCAGCAAAATACAGCTGAAGTCAGAGCTATTAAAAATATATATTTTTTTCTTTTTAATATATTTCCTTAATGATGTTTAACACAGCAAAGACATTTTTACAGTACGTTTGATAATATGTTTTTATTTGGAGAAAGCCTTATTTGTTTTATTTTGGCTAGAATAAAAGCAGTTTTTAATTTTTTTAAAAACATTTTAAGGTATATAATATTATAAGCCAATTTAAGCTATTTATTTTCTTGAAAGCCTACAGAACAACCCACTGTTATACAATAATAACTTGCCTAATTACCCTATCCTGCCTAGTAAAAAAACATATCTAGTCAAATATTATTTACTGTCATCATGACAAAGATAAATAAATCTGTTATTAGAAATGAGTTATTAAAACTATTATGTTTAGAAATGTGTTGAAAAATCTGCTCTCTCTTAAACAGGCATTTAAAAATTATTATAAATGTACATGTGCATTTTGCTTTTCAAGTAAATGTAAGTATGATTAAATATAGTACACCACTCTCCTGGATCAGAAGTTGTGCTTTTTAACCTTACAGGGTATCCACGGGGTCTTAAAATGTCCTAAAAAATTTTGGACTTAAAGTCTTAAGTTCACTAAAATATTGCGTTGTAGGTCTTACATTATTTTAAACAGGTCTGCATTCCATTTATAATTCCATCTCAATAAAAGCCTTATTTACCAATATGGTTTACTATCTTCCTTACAATAACAATTATTTTTAATGTTTTTTTTTATATTTTATCTGGGCCTTTGGAAAAAATCCTTAGCATTAAATCTTGTGTAAGTCTCAAATGTCATTCATAATAGTTTTAAAAAGTCTTACATTTGAATTAATGAAACCTGTAGAAACCTTGTGGTTAACGTGAACTAAAATGAACTAATGTTATTTAACTTAAATTGCGTTAACTAGCATTAACACAGATGAATAGATAATATAATAAATGTATAATTAATTCTTTGTTCATGTTAATAAATGCATTAACATTAACTAATGGACCATTATTTTAAAGCATCACCCTTATGCGTTCAATAGAAGAAAGAAACTAGTAAAGGGAGTGTAAATGATGACAGAATTGAAATTTTTGGGTGAACTATCCCTTTAATAACATTACATCATCTTTGCAGACACATGTTCCTTTCATGAAATATGTGAGTGTGGGCTGTGTGGTTGGGATTATTGCTGGATTCTGCATTGGGCCTGGTGAGTTTTTTTGTGTGTGTTTCACTCTTTTTTTCTGTTAATCTATATCTAGCTGAATGTACATGGCTACATACGTTTACGTCATGCTTAGACACATTTAGTGAAGCACTGCTCAATTGCATGAGTAGTAGTCTGCTCTTTGACCCTGAATTCCCAGATGACGTCTTCAAATAGTGAAATAGCGACACCTGGGGGTAGAATTTTGAAAAGCAGTTGAGGAATTGATTTCAGAATTTTGTTTGAGTGTTAAAAGGAGTTGGCCATATATAATGTGGACAAAATACAATGTGTCTTTTTATTTATGTATATATGTTCATCTTTTAACTGTTCATAGTAATGTTAAGGCTTTCAAACATTTTTAAACATTAGTAAAATCTTCAAACTTTTAAAAAATTGTATGAAAAGTTGGATATACATATGTATTTATTTCAAATTTAGTATATTTAGGTGTCTAATAATTAGAATTCAATTGGGGAAAATGGTGTAACAGTTTGAGATTATTTTAATATCATATACTACAAATTTTAATATATTAAAGATACATTATTAATTACAATAATGTATTTTGTATATTTTATTTAATAACAGTCCTGATCATTAAAATATGTTAAGTGCTGATAAATAATGTGTTAATAAGCTATTTTAGTATCATTAATATGATATTGTATTTTTATTAATACCTTTTTATATTTGCTGGTGTAATTGTATTTGGGATAATGTGGATTTTTTAGGTAATTTAGTTTAGTTAGCAATTTATTTTGTTTTTGTCATGATAATATGTCCCAGTTTGTATTAATCTGTATTTTAGATCACTTTAGTATAATTATTACAGTATTTTAGTACAATTAGCTGAAATAAAATGTATATATTTATTATTCTATTATTTATATCTATTAACTATATATAGTTTGTTTTATAGTTTTATTTAATTGCACATTGCCTAACATTGAGCACACAATAAGAAGCTAAATTGCACCAATATAGATTAATGGGTTTATTAGTTTACACAAAAATATATCAGATTACTAATTTTATATGTAGTGAAATATTTGGTTATTTTTAGATAGTACCAATAAGACTGTAGAGTAAATAAATAATTAAGTTAATTTATGAACTGCATCTAGACATTAAACTGATATAACAACAATAATACGTTTGACTGTTGAGAAGAAGAGACTGAAGATTTTCAAAGCTCAAAGTATGAAAGTTTAAGTACGTACTTTCCTCTATTAGAGCGCCATGAGCATCAGCCTCTAGTTTATGCACACAATAAGAGCAGAGAGGAGTAGCTCTGCTACAGTGATGAATGAGACTACAAGTGCTTTACTGAGTTGATGCATTATCCAACCCAACTCCAAAATCTATAATTCATTCTCAGGCCCCAGTCTCAATCGGTGTAATTACGTCTTTAATTAGGATTTTTTATGGCTCATTGTTCATAAACAATGATGAATATGGCTTTTTAAGACAAAATCCTGCATGAACAATGAATTACAAGCAGAGTTCCTTATCAATTTAACTGCAGCGCGCCTCCTGCTGCAATTATCACGCACAAATAATGAAGCCATCGCTTGGCTTGTTCCTGAATTCATTACATTTGAAATAACACCTTGTGCCTCCTTATTTTTCACTTGTAACCAAAAGGGATTAGAACTTAAGCAGTGGAACAATCTCTGCTTCCTGCATATTGAGATAACGAGCACTTCATAAAGCTAGTTTATTATCCTCCCTCCAAGAACTGTTGCGCAAAAGCGGCGTGTGCATACAATTGCATGAGTGTACATCTCAAATATTTAGCTTTTATGTATTTTATCAGTTTAAACAACAGATTGATTTTAGTTTTTGCAGCAGTTGTACTCTTAAATGCGTAACTGAACATGAAAAATTTATATTTTTATGAATTTTTGGCCTGGTGGTGGATGCTGACCTTTCAATGACATCCAAAGGCTTTACTAGTTTGTATGTAAATTTTAAAACAACAACAACAACAACAACAAAATTACTTAAAATGACAAATAATCCCAAATAAAATGACACCAGCAAATTTAAAACAAATAATTTAAAGATATTAATAAAAATGCAATACCATCTCAATGGTACTAAAATAGCACTCACATATATGATAGTTATTAACATATTTTAATAAACAAGATTGTCTTTAATGTATTAAAATGTTTAATGTTAAGGGTGCAGATATCACAGCATATAACAGCTATGTATTGTTAAATTCAGAATTATGACCCCCCCTTTGAATTTCTTTCTTTTTTAAATATTTCCCAAATGATGTTTAACAGATCAAGGAAATTTTCACAGTTTGTCTGATAATATTTTTTCTTCTAGAGAAAGTCTTATTTGTTTTATTTCGGCTAGAATAAAAACTGTTTTCATTTTTTAAAAACCATTTAAAGGTCAAAAGTATTAGCCCCTTGTTAGATTTTTTTCAGATAGTCTACAGAACAAACCATCGCTATACAATAACTTGCCTAATTACTCTAACCTGGCTAGTTAACCTAATTAACCTAGTTCAGCCTTTAAATGTCACTTTAAGCTGAATACGAGTGTCTTGAAAAATATCTAGTAAAATATTATTTATAATACTGTCATCATGGTAAGGATAAAATAAATCAGTTATTAGAAATGAGTTATTAAAACTATTATGTTTAGAAATGTGTTGAAAAAAACCTTCTTTCCGTTAAACAGAAATTGGAGGGGAAAATAAACAGCAGCGCTAATAATTCAGGGGTGCTAATAATTTTGACTTCAAGTGTAGTTCTTTGATTGTTCCTGTTAAATAAAGAATCAAAATAAATAAAAATTTAAGCTTTTAAAATGGAAACTAGTGAATAAAAAAATAGTGAAATTTGCATTAATTATGCAACAACCTTTAGAAGGGGTTCAAACACAGGTATGTTGCAACAGCATGTGAATATAAGCAGCCTCTAATGGTCAAAATATATATTTTTTTTTTTGGGATCACACTTCATAAAAACAGTCTGCAGAAACAGTTCGATTGACATTCTTCCTTTGTACATGTCCTCTAAGGGGGAGTGCCCGCCATTAGTGACGATCTGACTGAGACAGAGGCATAGGTAGCCCCTCCCTTTGGCTGGGAGCTCATTTAAATTTAAAGAAACAATCACCAAAAAGGCACAATTTGGATCAAAACCTAAAAGATTTAAAGAGTTATAAAAAGGATCTGTGGAGTATGTTGAAGGTATGTGGAGTATCTGTGGAGTATGTTGACTCTAGTAAAAAGGGGCGTAATTGGTCACCTTTAAATTACTTTAAACCATTACTCGCTGGTTGTTTAAAAAACCTTTGAAAAATTGTGGTGCCTATTTTTAGATTATTTGCTGGATAACGCTTTAGATAATAGAGCTGAGGCAAAAAAAATAAATATATATTTTATATATCTTAACATCTTGTGGCACGGTGGATCAGGGGTTAGCACTGTTGCCTCACAGCAAGAAGATCCGGGTGCTCCGGTTTTCCCACATTCCAAAGACATGCAGTATAAGTGAATTGGATTGGCCATTCGGAACTAAATTGGCCATAGTGTATAAGTGTGTGTGAATGAGAGTGTATGGGTGTTTCGCAGTAATGGGGTTCATTCCACAGTGGTGACCCCTGGTAAATAAGGGATTGAGCTGAAGGAAAATGAATCTTAACTTTTTATCTATGTAAATAGTTATTGCCATCTGTCTGTGAAGATATTACTCATATTATTGATATAGTATTGCCATGGATGTGTCTGTTTTTTAGCGGGAGTTCCGTTCCTGATCACGGCTGAGCTTTTTAAGCAATCCCACCGTCCCGCTGCTTATACTGTTGGAGGATCTCTTAACTGGATGTCCAACTTCACCATTGGCTTCATCTTTCCATTCCTTCAGGTAACATTTCACTCAATGCAACTGAAAGCAGTCAAAGCTAATAGCAGATTACTAAAAAAGCCTTAAAGAAATAGTTCCCACAAAAGTGAAAATTAGCCCATAATTTACTCGGGATTTATGACTCTCTTCTTTCAGACAAACACAGCATGAATAGTTTCACATTTTATCTTGGCTCTTCCATGCTATATAATTGATGTTGGGTAGTGGCCATTTTTTAAGCTTCCAAAAGTGCATAAATCTTTGCAAAACTAACCCATACGCCTCCAGGGGTTTAATGGATGTCTTATGAAGTAAATCGATGTGTTTTTGTAACAAAAATATTTTACATTTTTAATTATAACCTCAAATTCTAGACTTCTGGCAGCTGGCAAATGTGCATTGTTGACTACTTCTTGCCTCTTTGCATTGTCTTCCTTGTGCATTGAAAATAATTCAGTTGTTTATAAAGGAGTAACTTGGCTATACTATTTCTCTGCTACAGA